GGCATTTCAACATTCCATAGAAATACAGACCAGTTGAATACGACAATATAAGTACAACATCAGAAACAGAACTACAAGCAGCGATGACAGGAGGCCAAGCACCAAGGCTGTAGTCATGGGATTTTTAGTTTAGCCCCCCCTACTTATTTACTACATAAAAACACGGGGTTCCCAAGTGGTACAACAGAAATCTGGAGTTCGCCGAGAGTTCTCCATATCATCCGGAGATCTCATGGATGACAGCAAGCCGAGACAGCAGAATAAGCCATGGGAGAGGCATACTCTCTCACAGTGACACTAGCCCATCATGGCCGTCTGTAACTGATAACTGATCGCTGGAACTAGCGGGCAATCAAAAAAATATAATAATAATAATAATAATAATAATAATAATAATAATAATAATAATCCACACCCATCGCTTTTCCCGGTTGGTGCGGGCGCGCCTGAGGAAGGTCAGCTGTTGTTATACAGCATGAGAGCGGCCTCTAGTGGCGAAATAAAAACCATCACAGACTAATTTTTTTCGGCGGGTTATTTGAAGTGGTTTTTTTCTTATTTTTTTTTTTGGACGTCTGTTTTTATCTCTCATTTGGAGTGCTACTTTTCACTTCGGTTTGGATGTATATCTTTTACTTACTTTAGCGTTTATTAACAATGAACGTATATTAATATTTATCTCATCTAAAAAAAAATTTAAAAATAAAAATAAAAAAAAGTTCAGTACATTTTCATGGAACAGTCAGTACTGTTTATTTTTGCGATCGAGCTCAATAACCTTTTAACGTCGAGTGTTACGTTCTCATTCAGGATCAGTGTTAAAAAGCAGCGGTTGATGAATCGGTTATCAGCAGGTAGGTAGGTAGGTACCACCCGACTCGGTCAGAATCCGGTACCGGTGTCCTGGGAGACACCTCCGATATGACCGTGACACTATGATTAACATCACAATACACTTTTTGTATTATTATGAGATATTACATACCTAAGCAAGTTATTTGTACTGTGTGACACTGGGGCGGAGCACAATATTTCCGAGTGGATCACGTGATGTGGAAGCAGAGTCAACAGATGGACTGACTACAGATTAGAACTTTATGGACACATTGTTCATTGGCTGATTGTTCATTGGCTGATTGACCACGTGTCAGGGTCACTGCTGTGATGAGTGAAGGAATCCCTTTACTGTGCTCTACTGATGGATTATTGAGAGAGTAAATGTGATTGCAACACAAGCTGGACTCTTTCTCCCCAAACTCTTTCCATTTTACCCCCCTGGCTTTATGACAATGATGACACGCTACCAGGCGGATTCGAAGTTAGTTTTCCAGCTGCGTTATTATCGCTAGTGGATCTCCAATGCTGTCGAACACACTCGGCTAGCGTACTAACCTTCTAAATGCCCGGAAACGTACTTACCATTGTGTTGAAATGACTCGATTAAACCGCAAGTGTTCAGCTGGTTTCTCTTCTAAACTTGAACCCAACACGAGTGACAATCGCTGAAAACCGCAAACTTCAGAAATAACGAGTTAATTCTCGAGTTAGAGCTCCTCGGGAAGGTGTTCGTGGAGCACATGCGCGTTCGGCCATGTTTGGACTAAACCATAGGAGCGGCAGGGAGGGGAGCTATACCAATATAACAGTGCTTTATAAATGGATTCATTTTTTGCCTCGACCAAGTACTGATTCAAATATATAGTAATATTTCAGAATATCTTATTAAAATAAGATTTTATGGTGTAGTTATTTCCACATATTGCACTAAGACGAACATAATTCAACAGATATCCCCTACGTGAATTTTGGTTTAGTCGATTCCGCGTCACGACGTCCAGCTGTTGGCAGGCGACCTCTAGCGGTGAAGGTTGAAAAGTCCAAAAGCGTAGGTAGTGGTGGTACAATAATAATAATAATAATAAAATAAAATGTTAAAGTTATGCGAAATAAATGTAATTGGCATATATATATATATATATATATATATATATATATATATATATATATATATATATATATATATATATATGTGTGTGTGTGTGTGTGTGTGTGTGTGCAGAATACAATAATTTAATTAATTTAATTGCTTAATAAAGCCTGTACTAAAATCACTGGTAATTTCGTGTGTTATTCATTTTGGTTTTATTTCTGTATTCATTTCTCATGTATTTTGTGTATATATATATATATATATATATATATATATATATATATATATATATATATTTATTTTTTTTAAATAATTTTGTCCGTATTTATTTATTTATTTATACCAGAGTGAATTCATTAATACGGTGTAACTATTAATTTAAAACAAAATTAACAATGTGCATGAATAGAGAAATGCATAACCTTAAATGTACATGTTTACGTCAGATTCTGTATATCTTTATTCTGTGTAAAAGGTCGTTTGCATAAATTTAAGATTAATGAACCTTTTCTCAAAAATCTGTTTGTAATTATTTTACAATCAGCTCGAACAGAGTTTGAGCTCAAAAATTCGACAGACCGCAGTACTTGTACTGGAACGATGTAGCCTAAATATTATTTGCCATAGCTGTATATTAGTTTATCTTTCACTTGATGAATAAAATGTATGATACGGATGAGTCATTCATCACTCTGTGTGTGTTTGAAATCAAATCCATCTTAAGGTGCCAGCTTTATTATGTTCATTGCTGAGAAAGCATTTACACAGGTTTTACACGATGTGCGTGAATGTATTTATTTTCGGCACAAGCCACCTCAAAATCTGGAGAAAAAAAACCAACAACAACAAACAAAGCAAATATTTAAAGACCATAACATGTGCAGAATCAGATTTCTGAGTGTTAATCCAACATCCGGTCAATAAAATCTTCAAATGATTTCCAGTGTAACTGATTTCCCCGGTGGAATTTGATCTGTTTGGAGAAATCTATGTTTGGGAAATTTATATATTACAGAATAGTTCTTTGGGCTGTCCTTCTCACTTCCTCAGGTTTCATCTCACTCATTCTTCTCCCCTTCAGACATTCATGGCCAGCAACAAAAACTGTAGAAAGATCCAATCAAGAACCATTGTTAGACCGAGAAAACATTTTAAATGCATTCGAATCTGTTTTGAAATACTACGAGATGTTTTAGCCGACCTGTTGAAAGTTCATGTTCACTTCTCCTCTGTTTTGTGTGTCCAGGGCTTGGAAAACGCCTATAAAAATATAGAAAGCAAACTGTTTACAAGACGCATTTAGTAATTTCCCAGCTTTAACACATCTGTTCCAACATGCTAACCAATTCACCATATGAGTACTAGTGGAGATATAATCTTCAACCGAATCATATCATTTGGCTCAGCTCAGCCAAAAGAGCCGACTCTTTGAGCTTGTAAATCGCTCATTGGCATTTTTTATTTATTTTTTTTATTGCACATATGTTAAATTTTGAATAAAGACCGTTTTAAAGCTATATTGACAGTATGAAACGAGACAAAACTGTCAGAAACATCAACATTTTCCAGAGATGTGTTGGAAAAAATCACTTAAAAAACCTGCAATTGCACTTAGCATCAACCGCTACATTGACAAACACCAGCATAACGCAATTTGAAGATTTTATTTATATAAAAAAAGGGAGTCGTTCCAGTGAAATCTAGGGATGAATGTACATTCTATTTAATGTGAAATGCATATAACCTTTATAGTTAGCAAAATGTCCATGCAGGATTTTGTAACCATTTCATACTTTCTCCCGTCCTCGGGGTTCAAACTTTAACTTGCCCACATTTACTTCCACTTCCACCACACTGACTTTGCCCATTGAATCCTGCTATTTAAAAGAATTAATACCAGATAGCACTAAACTCACGATGGGGTTTCTCTACCCTGCTGGAAAAAAACAAAACAAAACATAACAAAACCCCAATAGAAACGATCACAGACATTCTAATGTTTTCCACTAGAAATACCATTACAAACCATCATCTAACCATTAAAACCATTACCATTATTGGTCCCTAAAGGGCATCTACTAGACATATCATAGAAAACAACAAATTACCAGTACAGAGACCTACAGGGACCATTACAGTTTCCATTCAATCCTATACAATTCCCGTTATAAGCATTGAAACCATTAGAAATTATATGAGGGGTTTCTATTGTTTGTTTGTTTTCCAGCAGGGAATTTGAAATCTTTTGTGAGGTAATATGTGCGCTTAATCCCACTCTACCATGTGAAAACAGTAGATAAAGTTTCGATTGAGTTTACAGGTAATGAATTCGTCGTTGATGTGAGTTTCAGGTTACTCACGGAACATGTTCTCGAGTCGGACGATGCAGGTGAGGTAATCGTCGAAGTCGATCTCATATCGCTCATCCCCAAACCTCAGTGCTAGCAGCTGAAGTAGTTGATTATTCAGTTGCATCCCTGTGAAAAACATGAGAGTTATTAGCAGTGTGAAAGAGCGTACGAGCTTTCTATGAGCAATGAATAATACCCAGAGCATCTGAGACGGAGACTAGATTATAGAAAACCTTACAAAGGGGTGTGTCTTCCAGACATGCTGCAAATGCAGATTTCAGTTTGGCTCTGATCTGGTGATTTAATTAAAAATTAGCCGCTGATAACCTTGGGCTGGAGTGAAAATTATTAGGGATGCGTTAATAGCGTTAGTAGCTACGCTACTGATATCAGAGCAGTGGGTATCGCCGGATACTTGATACTGAATCCAAACGTCCACAATATTAAAGACATCATACTGGTGTGCTTAATGTCTATTTAAGTCTCCATGCAAGATCCATCCATCCATCTTCTATACCGCTTATCCTTCAGGGTCGCGGAGGAACTGGAGCCTATCCCAGGGAGCATTGGGCACAAGGTGGGGTACACATACACATTCACACACCCATTCATACACTATGGACACTTTCAGCCTACAACGCAAGTCTTTGGACTGAGGGAGGAAACCGGAGTACCCGGAGGGAACCCCCGCAGCACGGGGAGAACATGCAAACTCCACACACACAGGGCCACGGTGGGAATCGAACCCCCGACCCTGGAGGTGTGAGTCGAACGTGCTAACCGCTACGCCCCCGTGCAAGATCCATGATATTTTATTATATTATTATTAATGTTAGCTCTCAACAGACTGTGTGCTCACCTGCTGCCTTGAGAGCCGACCGGAGCTCGTAGGTGGACATCCGTCCACTCCGGTCTGTATCGAACGACAGGAACAACATCTGCAAAGCAGGTGGCAGATATTTGACGAAGCATAAAGACACAATTTGACCTTTTCCAGGTGATGATTTTCAGTTTTATTCTGACAATAGACTACCTCCAGGTGTCTGTTCTACTCAATGAAGATGTATGTAAACAGTAAAATGGCAGAGAATGCTGAACAGGGCTGTTTCTGAATATCTAGTTGCCCCCGAGGAGCCCCGCCCACCCTAATCAATTAACTGTAACTGACTTCAAATACAACGCATGATGTAGTCCTGTTAAAAGAGCTGCAATTAGAAGCGATATTGCACTTATTGCTTCTAACATACTGTCATGTTATTCTCCTGGTAAGCTTTTAACCTTTAAACCTAACATCGATCATTTATCCATAATCTTTAGACATAATATTTATCACTGAAACATAATATAACCTGTTTATCCTAACATATATCATTTAGACATTGCTTGTTACAATAAACGTTTTGGATTCTTACCATCCATTTCTTCAGCTTTTCCCAGAAGACCTTAAACTCCTGAAACTCGATCATTCCCGAGCAGTCCACCTTTCCATCTGGTTAAGGAAAACCTGGCAACATCTTAACACCTCATACATCAGCTATCTAACACCTGGCTCCTTTCGAGTGTGCTGGAGAGAAGCCGAGGCGAAGGCAGTGAAATAACCGACGTCAACTCATTTAACTACACGATGTTGATATTTGAGTATTCTCACAAATAACCAACAGCGTCGACGTTTTTTTGTATCTGCACTTCACGTCCCATGTCCCATGAACCGGCGTTAGAGGATACATCCATCAGGTTGATGATACTGTGGCAGGTGTTCAGACTCACGCCATCGAATTTAATCTCCTTCCCTGTCATAAATAAAGACACGTGAAGCTTTGCAATCAAGGGCATTTAGCAGTTCAGCACCAAAGCAGAATGAATCGTGTCAGGTTGAGTTGCGCCGCGGTTTTTAATACAAACAGACTCACTCCTGCTCAGTACTCCGTTTAGGACGTCCTGCAGCTCATGGGCGCTGATGGCCTGGTCCTACAACCACACCGCAAGAACATCAGTCATAAGCCGTCATATGGCATTCACAACGTGTAAAAAAAAAATAAAGAAAATCCTTGGCACAAGTTCGCTGTCTTACCGAGCCAGCGACCTGTTCAAACAGCTTCCTCAGGCCCTTTTCCTCATCAGTCTCCTTCTCAGGCGGAGTCGGCATCGGCGGCTAAGAACGAAAAATGCCGTTTGTGTTCACATTCGTAACCTATAATGTGCCCGAACTGATACGTACGCCTGGAAATATGATCGGATTAGGAGCACAGTGAAATGTAGAAAATGTATAAACAGAGCATAAAACTAGTCTCGATTTGCACTTTCTTTAGTCTAACCTTTAATCTATCAGACCTAGTCCTCTGGACCTCCTCTGTAGGGAGATCAGGTCTATAGTGTAAATAACGAAAGGAAAGACGACTCCGAGGTTAAAGAAAAAAAAGTCACTTACGTCAGGCAGGTTAGCATCGACAGTGTTGCCCATCTCCCTGTTCACACACAGAGCATTTGATCAGTGTCTTAAGTTCAAACCTGACGGCTAGTCCATATGAGTTTGTGTAACACGGAGATAAGATTCTACATCTAGTGCATAACTTGAATCCTCCACAAATCTCAGGTTGTTGTCAAGTGTGTTGCTATTGAATGCGGTATTTTGAATCAAATGCCCATGTGGCCTAAATTTATGATAGGTTTAAACCTTTAACAAACCTTTTGCATACTGATTGAGAGTATGGCCTGTTATTCAATACTGGAAAAAAAAAAAAAAAAAACGAAATTGAAAAGGAAATGCAGGTAGAATCAGTTACACGGAGTGAATGGATACATACAGCGCTCCGGCTTTGGTCTCAGAGAAGATCCGCACTAGGAAGTCAGCCTCCTGGTGGGGCTGGAAGGTGGTGGGCACCAGCAGGTAGTTGCCCGGTGGGAGGGCGAAACGCTCGGACACCTCGCGTGTGTTGACGTAGGTGCGGCTGCGTGCTTTCGAACCGTTAAAGCGGAAGAAATCCTTGTCCGCGTGGTCCTCGTGATCAGCGCACTGGAGGAAAAACAGAGATAAAGACTTCCAAACTCCTCACTTGTTTATCCAGAGCGCAGCAGAGTGACTCTCACACGCTCTGACCTGATAGATCGCGAAACCGATGGTCTCCAGGTCCAGACCTTCCTTCCGCAGTTTGCGTCGGTTCTTCTGCATGAGGGCCACGATGACGCTGCACTGATTATCTTTGCCCGGTTCCTCTAGCTTCAGCTTGAACTGAGGGTTGGTCCAGAAGGTGTCTAAGGAGAGAACAGACATGTGAAGTTAATCAGGTGTTAAACAAAAGGGGGCTGCAGCCTCACCAACACTTTCTGGTTCAGGATTCCACATTACCATGTCTTTTCTCTAGAGGGGGGTTAAGGGGAGGTTAGGATGTCGAGTGTGGGATTGAAGGGAGAGGCTTGGACTCGTTAATTCAATGGAGGTCTGGTTGAAGTTCACCAGCATGACTTTTACTAAACTTTTTTGATTTTTTTAATCGTGGTATATCATTCTTTACAACCCGATCCACTGACCCACAGTGTGTCTGTTTTGCTCAGACGCCTGCACTAACCCTAACCCTAACCCTTGTTCTAGATTGGAATAGTTTGTTCTAATGGTTTGGAAACTGAGGTCTGAGGTGTTTATAGGGACAACCGTGTGGACCAGCTGTTCCTAAGCCCTGGATTTGGAAACTTGGTCTTGAAAGTTGCCCTTGAGGTCCTCCCCACCGTCTGGTATGTTACTATTCGTATTAAGCACTGCCTTCCTATGCAGCGGCTTTCCATAATGTGCTGTTTTTAGGTTTGACTGATGTGCCACGACCTCCCACTGCTTTCTGAAAGAATAAGAAGTGAGAACTTACTTTAAACTTTGTGCTTACCAATGTAGTTCCTGCAGCCTCCGGCGGTAGAGCCGCGGATCCAGCTGCCCTCCAGTATGTTCATGACCCACTTCTTCTTGGTGTCATCTGTCAGGGAGTCCGGAGTCAGGTTACACAGCTCCACTTTGTCGTAGTTCACCTTGAAGTCCTCAAACTCCATCCTGTTACACAACATCTGGCGTATTCAATTCTGTGGTACACAATAATGGACTCAAACCTTGTTGATAAGCCCAATTCCTTAACGATGATGGATATCGTCACTCTAGAACCCTTAAGGATTCAATTGTCCCTGTTGCGGAACCCTATTAAACTGAGAAGAAGTTTCAAATTAAGGGGTACCCAGATGTGACGGCTTGGCAGTGATTTAAACTCGCAACCTTCAAATCAGCTGCCCAAAGCTTCAACCACTGAGTCACCACTTCCCCTAGAACCCTAGAGCGCTTTTAGGAAGCTGAGAACTTTGAACTATATATATATAAAGCTCATACCAGAACTCTCCATCGTCCGTGGCGTTTTCGAGCAGTCTGATCTTATCTGCTTTATCAACATTATTCCACTCTCGGGATCTGCAAGGAAACAGGAGCGCTTTGGAAATGTAATATTGATTTACAGTTCATTTCCATGTTGTGTACCTTATCCTAGATGTGCGATTAGGTCCGAGTCTTCTCACAGCGTATTAAAGAAATACAAACTGATCAGCCAAGGCATGTTTGGTGTCAATAATGAAGCCAAAAAGTTGCTTTAACTGATACTGTTAAGCTCAATAATAATTTTTTTTTCGAGAATCCAAGTCTTAAAGATTGAGAGGCGGGGCCTATTAGGTGGAACGATACGAAACTGGACTGATGAATAAATTGATTGTGGTTGCTCAACATGGCCGCCTCCATAGCGTTTCACTATTCAGCTAAACCGTGCACAAAGAAGCAAACATCTGGCACCAAATATGTCTTGGCTGATCGATAATCGTCAGATTATATCTTTAAGAGCAAATGTATATTGCTACAAAAAACAGTGACTTGGTATCTTTAGACATCTTTTTAGCACTGGTCTTTGATTTATGGTGAATTCATGATTAGCATGGTCGTACTTATCGCTCCAGGGTCCGTTCCATTCCACCTGACCCCAGGGGTTCCGGATACGGATCAATCGCACTTTTCCCCCTCTGTAGTTCACCTGAAGAAAAGCAACCACACAGAGGGGGATTGAGAAAAAGATTCAGGCTAAGGTTCAGAGGCCATTTATGAAAGGTGAAAGCCCAAAATTATTTTACTGTAGACGGTTTATAAGCTTTTATGCATATGAAGCGTGTTAGCTACATACGCAGAGCGATTCAAATGAGAGCTGGTGTAATTACCTCTTCCAGGCCTGTGATGGAGTAGGCATGACCTTTGACCAGGCCTGTGGAAGTCTGAGCTTCTGATTCAGCTGAGCTGGTGATCTAGAGAGAAAGAGACGTGCACTTAAAATGAATGTTTTTAGTTGTTGTTGATGCTGGCATTTAGCTTTTTTTTACATGAAGATCCAGCATCTTTCTCGTTCATCATCTGAACCCTGCGTTTCCTTATCAGAACCCCTTTAGGAACCGAAGAACCGTGAACTATCCGATGATAGAGTGTATAATCAAGAGTGTTTCGTAGTGTGACTGCAGTTGATCTATGAACTTTCGTCCAGCTCGACACTCTTTCGTAAGAATTCTGGGTTGTCCATTCTTACGTCGATGGAGCAGCCCATCATGGAGCCTCTATCCAGCGCCTTCTTCAGGATGACGAAAAGGTCTGCTGGGGCTTTCTTTGTCTCGTATGTTTCTCCGACTCCACCACTGAAGTCCTCCATGGCCTCCAGGGTGCTGCCTCCCTTCAGAGCCTCGTAGCTGCTGTTCAGTCTGACACATAGACACAGACACAGTGCAGAATAAGCTACAG